CCGAGGCCTTCCCCTGACGTTGCCTTCTGCCACTAGTGGGCAGAGGTTGACTGCCTCTGAACGTGGAGGTTCCCTTTAGCCCCAAGGGCTAGTAGCCACTGATAGACCACTCCTCCATGAATCTTAATTCCCCTTTCTTTCAAGCTGTCTGTGCCTGCGGCCATCACGACATCCTCTCACAGCGATTTCTGCGTTTTAATCACATAATGGGTCAAGAAGGATTTTCTTCCGCCCCTCCTGAATCTACCGCTTAACTGGATGCCCCCTCAAGTCCTAGTGTTTTGGAAGCAGGAGAAGAAGCTGGCCAGGAAACGGGAGAGCCCAAAGAGTGGAGCTTGGAAGGGCAGGTGCGCGGTCAACGGGTCGGTCTTCCCACCGGCCTCCGTCAATCAAGCCGAATCCCCCCCTCTTCCACCCATCCATCCCGGCGTACCTGGAACTCTGTCATCAGCACCTTCCACTGCTGGCTGCCGCCGCTGGGTACCAGGAGGGCCTCTGAAGAAGCCGGGTAGCTGCTTACGCGGGTGCAGCTGAACGAATAATTGCTGGGCGCCGTGATCTGGGTGGCGGTGAAGTTCACGGGGGGGCGCCCGCCCACAATCAGCTGCACTAAGTAGAGGTTAAACCAGTGCCGGGCAGAGACGTTGTAGAAGGTGTTTCTTATGTGGAACCTTGCGGGGCGGGAGAACAGAAGGACAGAAAGACACACAGAGGGATCAAAGTAGGTGGAGGAGGAGAGATTGGATTTAGACCCCATGGCCCTTCACTCCCCAAAGGAGTCTCAGAGCGGCTTACAAACTCCTCTCCCTTCCCCTCCCCACGACAGACACCCTGTGAGGTAAAAGAAGAAGAAGAAGAGATTGGATTTATACCCCGCCCTTCACTACCCAAAGGTGTCTCAGAGCGGCTTACAAACTCCTCTCCCTTCCCCTCCCCACGACAGACACCCTGTGAGGTAAAAGAAGAAGAAGAAGAGATTGGATTTATACCCCGCCCTTCACTACCCAAAGGTGTCTCAGAGCGGCTTACAATCTCCTTTCCCTTCCCCTCCCCACAACAGACACCCTGTGAGGCAGGTGGGGCTGAGAGAGCACTTTCGAGGACTGCTCATGAGAGAACTTGTGACTGACCCAAAGTCACACCAGCAGCTGCACACGGAGGAGTGGGGAATCAAACCTGGTCTTCCCAGATTATCGTCTGTGCTCCTAACCACTACGCCAAACTGACCTCTGCCTGAGACGTTGGAGAACACCTGTCGAAATAGGCAACACTGACCTTGAGAGACCAAGGGACTGACTCAGGAGACGGTCGCTCCAAGTGTTTCCGGGTGTGGCGTACTGGCTATAGGAGTGTTGGGCTTGGAAGCCATAGAAGCTTGTTGGGTGACCGTGGGCCAGTCACATGCTCCCAGCGTAACCTTCCTCACAGGGTTGTCGTGAGGATAAAACGGAAGTGCAGAGAATGATGTAAGCTGCTTGGGGTCCCATTGGGGAGAAAGGCGGGGTAGACATTGAGTCCATAAATTCCAGGAGGAGGGGTTGGCGGGTCTCAGGGGGAGAGGTGACCAAGAAGCAAGGGTGCCTCCTAGTGGTGGGAGCTGCAACTGCTTGTCTACTCAAAACCTGGCCCTAACACCATGTCTGTATTTATCTAGGGCTGTT